CTAAGATAATCTAATAAAACCTTGTAACACGATGAATTCAAATACACCTTGTATACTCTACTTCTATTGTCATTTATGATTTCGGGGAATAGTCTGAATAAACCGGGATATTCTCTGCAGAATTCCCCTACCGGAATCTTTGCAAACTCCTACAAGTCAGGAATTTTCGTAACACAATTCTCACTGCGCATGCGTATAATATCTACGTCCCACAAGCATTACAGCAACTTTGGTAGAATATATATCGGGGACGTGTTAAAATTCACCCAGCTGGTTAGAAGGAATATATGTGAGGATAAATATTAGGAAAGTATTAAACTTTAAAAGTTTTCTTAAAGTGCTAGTAATCATTGGTCCACACTTTTTAAATACATTACAAGCGCGTGCAATTGATGTGAAATTATACTGTGATGACGTCATGGGTGGTGCTTAGTGCACCACCCGCACCACCTGGTCCAGAACCCCCACTTTGTATACTACTCCGATGCATTCACTAATGCAAAATGGATGCCAATCGAATCTAACGTGACGTAGGTAATTTTTCTTCAACTGTGACGTCAAAGGATGCGGTAAAAATAACATATTTTGTCGCAAAAATATTGATGTTTAAGTGTCGCAAAATAACAGAAAGTACACATTTGCGATCGCAAGGTCGCATATTGGACTTATTTTGACAATTTCGACTGTTATTGAGACTATTTAAATTGGATTTCATCCTAAATAGTGTATTTCTGACATGGAGTCAATTTTAAGCAAAGATTTGCGGGTTGATAGGAGATATTTTATTACTGAGTGCTTTGACTATTGGCGACATTATATTTCTATATATTCAAACAACATGAATCATGATTTCTCAATTTTGACCGATGCATTCACATCGCTGCATGACATCGGTCTGGATCCGCCCCTGCACTTCAATTTCAATTAAATCATTCTCATTCAAAATGTTTCGCCGGATTAGTTCAGTTTTTCTGCTCATTGACATTGTTTCATTTTCTTGTGTTAATTAACAACTTGTCAAAACAAATTTTATCACTGCAGATTTTACATTTTATCATTGCACATTTTACTTTTATCACTGCACAAATTGGTTAACACTGCACACTAAAATTAGGTATACGATAGACAACATTCCTATTGAAAGAATACAATCCCAGAAGCTAGTCGGCATTTGGGTTCAATCAGACCTCAAATGGCATACTACTGTAGTACCGTTTTTATTATTAAAAAGGCCTAAACTACTTCCACTTAAGCAGAGACGGAACAGACATTGCATTGACTTAATTAAAAAAAATGTCCTCCCCGTCACATAAATTACACTACTTATTACCTGGGAAAGTGGGAAACATTAGAAATAGATAAACTAGATCCTATAGAAACAAATTTTATAACTTTAGAAGTAGAATTTATCGTTTTAAGAACAGTCCACTAGTCTATGCTATTGACTAATATGCCCTACAATAATAATATATAATGTTCTTACTAGATTAAATAGATATAGTTAATTTTAATAACATTTTAATAGATCAGTAGTAGTACCTATGTAAATACATGACAATTAAGTTATCTTATTCCATATATATGTGAAAACCCAGTATTATTATGAAATATATTGCCTTTTTGCAGTTTGAAAGAAAAGTATTCAAGCAAATTCAAAAGAAACTGGCCAAGTTATTCTTGATTGTAAATATTTATTTAATACATTGAATTCATATGGAATGTTGAAATTACTATTTATTTGTACTGATGATACCTTTTACCTCAAACTGGAACTGGAAAATATTTTATTGTGGGTTTCTTAGTTTCTAAAATTTTACCAATAAAAAGGCCTATAAATTAAACATGCACGAGTGCCTTTTAGTATGCAATATCTGGTGAAGATATAAACATTTAATAAATCAGTATAAAACCTGTTTTGATCATTTTGCTATTGTTGTAACTGGCTGACAGTAAGTTTAAATCATAAGCCAACCCAATCTCACCTCATGCATGTTTCATCTGTTGATGTGTTTTACAGTTTGATGTGTATTTTGGGCTTCATCTTGCGTTTGACCTCTGAAGGCTATTGCCCTTGATTGTCAAAATCTAACATGTTTACACTGAGGAACGGGGTATACTCTTGACTTACTTATGGCCACATACAATGCATTTGACACCTAGTTACAAGACAGTGTCTAACAAACTGGACAATTTAAAGGTATGGTTGCATATTGCAATTTGTTGGGCTGATTTCAGATGCATGTTAATAATCAATTATATTTGACAAATATGTGGCAAACATCATCTGATGGTCTCACTGAAAATATGTGTCAACATTCAGCTAAGTCTAAAATCAGCCTAACAAAGTGGTCTGTAAACATACATATACAATACATACATACATAGCATACACACACACACACACACAAACATACACACATACACATACGCGTGTACCATATACACACTTAACACACATGATTTACCATGTTGTCATGGAAATTGGTCTCGGGATTAAATAATCCAAACATGTGTGTTCTACAGGGTGAGCCACCCCAAGTACTTTATTTGAAATCATCGTCAGGTCACTCAAGGTAGGTCCCAGTAAAGTGCTTGAACAAGTGTAGGTTTGTAATGTAAACGCAACAAGACCTATCCCAGTTGTTTCTCTGCTTGCTCCTAAATCCTCATGAATCCTGTTTATGGTGTTTGGTTCAGCTAAGTTAGAAAGGGCATACGTTTTTCACAACTTGACTAAATGAGATATACCTCATCAACATGCTATGCAAACAACAACCCCTGTAACATTTAAACAAAAGTCTTGAGAATTATATTTATTTTGCTCATAACTTAAACTACTAGTATTTACATTCAAATAAATGTAGAGCTATAGCAATATTTATGCAATTTAATACTCGTGTGGACTTTTATTTATAGACCCACTCACCCACAACTTAACTTCTCAACAAGCTAGGCACATTGGCACAAATTGACAGCTTAGCCCATTAATAAATTGCACTGCACCCTTCTTGGGCTATGGTGGCGTGCTGATTACACCACAGACTTTGGTGGTGCAATTGTGAGAGCACGGACTTTTTATCTCTGAGATTGTGGGTTCAATTCTCACCACTTCAATGACACTTATGTTGAAAGAGTCAGTCAACACTCTGCCAATTAAAATTTGTGTGGTTTCTCCGGGAACTCTAGTTTTCTACGGAAGGAATGTTGACAGGGTGGCTTGGGATTAGCCTCTAGCTTAACTTCAACCCTAGCTGTGCTCCGTGATTAGACACAAGTCATAAGGTGGCCCTCGGAAAGCCTTTTACTCAATCAAATCGTGCTGTGTTGAACTGTACCAAGCTACAGAGAAAATATACATTTCATGGGTTGCAAATCTAATATTATAGCATATTCACATCACATGTAGTTGAGGATCTTTTGGAATTCAAGAACAATAGTGACAAATGTCAAACTGCACACAATACACTAGAAAAAAATATTCAAATCACATGTCAAATTTAATATACATGTATCAAGCAGTAGTCATATTAGTGGCAGCACTACTGGGCTCTGTATAAAAATTCTGTCAATTTAGTAATTGCTTGCTTGCTTGCTGAAAATAAACTATTCAAATATTTACAACTTTTAGAATTGTATAGCATAAAGACATTTGAGCAGCCAATCTCTTTGGCTGGGACTCAACATGGGCTTTTGAATCTGGTGTTAAATTATTAAAGAATGCTTCCCTGGGTGAAATTATTTTTTCTCCTTTTGTGGGGACATTAAAAATCTTTTAAAATATGAAAACTATTTCTTGTAATCATCTTGACCAAAATTAGAATAATGCACACATTATATAGAGAATATTGAAATCGAAAGGCAAACCAATACAAAAACACTCACCTCTAACACTCATTTCTTGATAATTCCTTGATAATTCCTTTAGCGAATGTTCCTGGTCATCCATACGCACATATAAATGTAATATTCAGCACCAAAAATGATTGAAAAGGCAGGAGTGAAAAGCTAAATGGTTCGATGCTTCAGATATCGTATTTCTGAACAATCATATTTACATATTCTGCCAGGCGCTGCAGAACCCCGTAGTGTCCCCCAAGCACCCCGCGCGCTCTCGTTCATCTTAGCCACTGATCTATGTAAAAGCACTGTAGTGTTGCTATTTTTAGTACGTTATTTGCGCCTGGGTACGCGGCTGCTACGGTACCAAAAATTGAGCGTAGTATAAACGGGGCTTAAGAGGGCCTCTCAGTAAAATCCACCCACTGGTTTGGGGAAGGAAAAATAGATTTAGTTCATATTTTGCATATGAACTAGACTTTGGTCAATATTAATTGAGCTTCTTTCAGAACGTTTCAACTTTCTATTTTATAGGAGTTAAAGCCCATGTTGAAATTTGACCTTGCAAGAGTATTTTCAGACCGGAAATGAAGGGTAATTTTACAAGAATTCATCGACTTTTTTAAAAACGTTGTGGTGCGTTTATCCACTGCAGTTACTGTTCACATGCAAGATTAACACTAACACTCTCGTTTTCATGGAGATTGAACAACTTTACTTGCTTAATACGATTTTTTTATAGTTTTACGAAACTATGTTTTCAAGATGGCGACGAGAGACTGAAAATTGCTCATATTTTACTTAAAATAGCTCAAAAGTGGCACCTATCTGAAGTTCAAAAGGCATGTAATTTGAAAGTATACCTACTAAAGTTAAGTAATCAGGAATAAAATTCGTCTGCAAGCGATTTTCGGAAAAGCTATAAATCTCCAAATTAGGCCTATTTTTAGCTATTTGTTTACATTCGCGTGTTCGCTGATCAGCGACACTAATAATTGAAGAGTTAAAATAAGCTGATTTATTACCCAGTAACTTTTTTAGCTTGTTCACATCAAGAATATATACAATTTTGCGAAAATATAATTACAATATATACAAGCGATCGTGTACAGAACATTCTCGAATTCGAATTGCTTTACATTTACACTTAACTTACACTTGCACTAATTACCCTTAGTAGTACAGTAATTATAGAGTAGTACAGTTACAACGATTCTACTGTTTGTCTACGACCCTGATATCTTCTAATGTTATTAAATATATATTGGTAATATAATAAGAACTTCGTCAGAAACATTGACACAATACCATAATCTCCTGATTATGACTTTGATCTGCCGCTCCCACGGCGGGAGGTGCATGTCTGAACGACCAATGTGAGTAGAAAACTTAGGGACCGGTCATTAACTACAGGGGAAGAGGGGGAAGGGGACTGGTGGAAAAGTGGGGGGTCAGGTAGTTTGTGCATGAAAAAATGGGGGGGCAAGAATTTTTGTGCAATATTAATACCTGCCCCACATGACCCTAGGCCTGTTGTACCATAAAACCTACAGATAAAAAGATAAAAATAGAGAGCAGTGGAACTGTAGTAAACTCCAACACAACACCATGTATTAAACTGATTTCAACATAAACATGTACATTGGAACAGCCGATGACCCAATAAATGGTAAAGAATATATAAATTACAATACATGTACATAGGGCATAGTTGCCAACTCTCACGGATCCACCATGAATATCACAGATTTTACTATAACCTCACAGTGAGCTCACAACTTGTTAATATATCTCGCGGATTCTCACGGATTTCAAAAATAACCCAACTGGTTCTCAAATATGTTGGCTTAATGTTGCACATTTTAACTATTAAGAGTGACTTCATTTGCGTCAAATTACATAAAACCTTTTTCTTTAGAAACAATTCAGTGTCATTCAGCCAAAAATAGATAATCAAAACATCACTTCATGCAACCTCGTACTTGTGGGTATTCAACAATATGGTTTTGTATATCTAAAGAAAAGCTACCAAAAGTTGTATTTATAAGGTATAGAAGACTCTGAAAATGCCATTTTCAACGATCTAGAGGCTCCATATTTTCAATTTTTTCCGCTCAGCGCCAACTATGGTGGTGCCTCGTGGGTGCCTCAAAGCAAAATCTCACGGATGTTTTATTCCCAATGTTGGCAACTATGATAGGGTAGTATGATTAAATGTGGCTTTAGAAGAACTTTAAATTACGAATGTGCCTTTTGTTATTTGCATGTGGGGGGGAGGGGGGGTCTCTGTGCGATGTTTAGGTCATGAAATAGTGCTACAGGTAATATGGTTTAATGCTCTTTGCAGAAACTCCCCTGATTTTGATCTCGCTCAATATGATAATCAGAATCGCTCGATTAGACAAATTTGAGTAACGTTTGTTTATACCCAATTCACAACTTTATATATAAACACACATGCCTAGTTACTATTGTTCTAGATTACAAAAGCATAAGTGAATATCATGTTCTGCAACCGGTCCGCAATGAAACTTTTATTGACCGGTCAATAATAAAATGGGTGCAATACGCATGTGTGTCAATCGCGAAGTTCCAAAGTTCATTTTTTAAACTTTTTATTTACGGCCGTTACATTTATCCAGTTTTGGTTTCAAATTAAGTTCACTCCAATAACAGGGCCGTAGGAAGCTCTTTTTGATGGTCGAAGGCCCGAGGCCGAAAGTTTTAAATTTAGAGTCTCTGAAATGCCATTTCCTGGACTTTGGGGAAACTAGACTTTGGGGACTAGATTGTAAATTTTGACATATTAAAACAGCGTTTTAAAAAATATCTGCTATCAAAAATAACTGGCAAGCTAGTGTTGCAGTTGTACTTGTGAGAATGTAGATTTCAAAGTCAAAATACTAGAACTTTCCCACTTCCGCTTTTGTGGTTTGTTGTCTCTTACCGACTTTCTGTTATTGTAGCGGTTAACAAATTATAGGCAAATACGACGACATAAGTTAAATTTTGAAACCTTTATGTGTTCATATGCAGTGAATCAAACGAAAAATGCGTCCTTTGTTACAATTATTCAAATTATTACAAAAATCAAAGAACTAAATTTTATCGCTATATTTCTCCTTAATTCGGCAACAGCTACAACAAAACAAAATAGTAAATGACCACAGACTACAAAAGCGGAAGTGGGAAGGTTGTAATATTTTGACTGCAATTATGTACAAAAATATGTTGCATCCATGCAGTAAGAATTAATGTCCGACCTTTCCGGCAAAATTTCCATTTACAGGGACAGAAAAAGATTACGAGTCGAGTTGAATAGAAAAGTTAAAGCACCGAACACTTTTTACATACAGCCAGAGATACTGACAGCTTTGAAATTGCTACAACCACAGAAAGTACCGCCCGTTTATACTTTAAAAAGATATTTAACAGTTGTGAAATTATTCATGCGAATAAGCCAAGAATGGTTAAGGTTGTATTTTGAATGTTTCTATGTTGTGAATTAGAACCTGGATAATAAACCAGCTTATTTAACTTTTTAATTATTACTAGTGTCGCTGATCAGCGAACACGCGAATGTAAACAAATAGCTAAAAATAGGCCCAATTTGGAGATTGATAACTTTTCAGAAAATTGCTTGCAGACGAGTTTTATTCCTGATTACTTAACTTTAGTAGGTATACTTTCAAATTACATGCCTCTTGAACTTCAGACAGGTGCCACTTTTGAGCTATTTTAAGTAAAATATGAGCAATTTTAAGCCTCTCTCCGCCATCTTGAAAACATAGTTTCGTAAAACTATAAAAAAATCGTATTAAGCAAATAAAGTTGTTCAATCTCCATGAAAACGAGAGTATTAGTGTTAATCTTGCATGTGAACAGTAACTGGAGGGGATAAACGCATCACCCCGTTTTTAAAAAATCAGATGAATTCTTGTAAAATCCCCCTTCATTTCCGGTCTGAAAATACTCTCGCAAGGTCAAATTTCAACATGGGCTATAACTCCTATAAAACAGAAAGTTGAAACGTTCTGAAACAAGCTCGATTAATATTGACCAAAATCTAGTTCATACGCAAAATATGAGCTAAATCTATTTTTTCCTTCCCCAAACCAGTGGGTGGATTTTACTGAGAGGCCCTCTTAAGCAAGCTCGACCTCAACCAGGGTTACAACCAACTAGAACTAGCCCCGGAATCCAGGTACATTACCATGCCCTTCAGCACCCACCTTGGGCTCATGCGCTACAAGCGACTCAACTTTGGAATATCTAGTGCCGCCGAAATGTTTCAGAACGCTATCCGCGAGAGTCTTGAGGGCATCCCGGGCGCAATCAACATCAGCGACGACATACTCGTTTTCGGCAAGACCCAGAAGGAGCATATGCGATCAAGCACTCGCAGCAGTGTTTCAGTGGCTTCGAGAACGCGGGCTGACCTTGAACAAACTCAAGTACGAGTACAGCAAGAACAGCCTTGAGTTCTTCGGGTACGTTTTTGGTGCAGATGGCATGGCCCCGGATCCAACGAAAGTCCAAGATATCCTAAACCTCAAAGCCCCAACGTCAGTCACAGAAGTCCGTAGCCTGCTAGGCATGACCAACTACTGTGCACGATTCATCGAGGGATATGCCACAATTACTGAACCTCTGCGAGCCCTTGCCCACAAGAACCATGCCTGGGAGTGGATGGACAAGCAGGAACATGCCCTGGCCCAGCTCCAGCATGTGTTGGCCAACGCACCTGTCACAGCGTACTTCAACCCTGAGAAAACAACTGAAATCTCCGTTGATGCAAGCCCGGTCGGGCTGGTTGCCATCTTAGCGCAAATCGATCCCACAACCAAAGTCAAGCGTATCATTGCGTGTGCCAGCCGCTCTCTGACCACCACCGAGCAACGCTACAGCCAGACTGAGCACGAAGCCCTCGCTGTAGTATGGGCATGTGAACACTTTCACCTCTACATTTACGGCAAGCCAGTCAATGTCTACACAGACCACAAGCCCCTCGTTGCTATCTATGGCAACGCGAACTCGAAACCACCTGCCCGTATCGAAAGATGGGCACCCAGACTTCAACCATTCCAGACTACCGTGCATTACCGAAAAGGAGAAGAAAATCCTGCAGACTATATGTCTAGGCACCCTTCCAGTCACACCGAACCCTGCAGCAGACAGGAAAAAGTTGCAGAAGAGTACATCAACTACATTGCCACAACTTCAACACCAGCTGCACTCACCCTCAGCATGATTGCAGAGGCCACAGGACGTGACCCAACCCTCCGTGTCGTCATAGACGCCGTTCAATCAGGCAAGTGGTATGAACTAGCCAAGCATCCAAAGGTCAACACTGACACATTTCACACATACGAACGCCTCAAAGATGAATTAACCGTTGGAACAACAACCCAGGTAATCATTTGCGGAACGAAATTAGTGATTCCAAACAAGTTACAACGTCGCGTCGTGGACTTGGCTCACGAAGGTCACCAAGGCATTACCAAAACCAAATCCCTACTACGAGAGAAGGTGTGGTTTCCTGGAATCAACAAAATGGTCGAAGAATGAGTAAAATCCTGTCTCGCATGCCAAGTTGCAACCCCGGAGGCAGCACGTGAGCCGTTACAAATGTCTACTCTGCCCGATCAAGCGTGGGAAGAGATAAGCGTTGACTTTGCTGAACTCTCGACAGGGGACTACCTCTTGGTGGTCTCTGATGACTACTCACGTTATCCAATCGTTGAAGTTATTCGTTCAGTGGCAGCCCAAGCTGTAATTCCTAAACTCCAGCACATCTTTTCACAATTTGGCGTTCCAGGAATTCTGAAATCTGATAACGGTCCGCCGTTCAACTCCGAAGCCTTTGCAACTTTCGCCGCTAACCTGAGATCCCACTCACCGAAAGATCACTCCTTATTGGCCAAGAGCCAATGGCGAAGTAGAGCTATTCATGAGGACGGTAAAGAAGATCGTGACGATTGCACTTACACAGCAGAAACCATGGCGAGAAGAACTAACCAACTTCCTTCGGAACTTCAGAGCTACACCACACAGCTCAACTGGAAAGGCCCCAGCAACAGCCTTCTTCAATCGCCAACTCCGAACGAAGCTACCCGATGTACACACCAATGCACGAGTCTCGGCCGAGATCCAAGAGACGGACCAGAAAGCCAAAAGAAAGATGAAGAAATATGCTGACTCGAAAGCATACGTCAAGCCATCAAGAGTACGACCTGGCGACACCGTGGTCCTAAAGCGTGACCCCTCACATCGAAAGTCCGAAACCCCGTATGAACCAAAGCCATACAAAGTAGTCAGCTGCAAAGGCTCGATGGTAACCGCCACGCGAGGAGAAAAGACAGTGACCAGAAACTCGTCATTCTTCAAGCTCGTCAGACAACAAGATGAACCAACAGAAGGCAACTCAACCGATGGAGAATATGATAACCTCGAAGATACGGACGGTGAACCGGACAACATTGCACAGGTTGAAGAACAGCAACAAGAACCTCACCGTTATCCTCAACGTGTTCGAGCGCCACTATGCATAGCGTTGAATAAGGAACTTGTCGGACTAATAAGTTCCTAGTACTTGTCACCGTGTCTGTATTAAGACATGCATGCATGTACTTTACGAATCACATTGATTGAACTTTATATGACAAACATTTAGTTGACATTTGACTTCAAATTTGGGTTCTTTTACTAGTTATGTTTAGTGTGACTTTAGTACGTCTCTAAATCCCAGTAGGGGAGGGATGTAATATCCTATGTTATCACGTGTGGGACACGTGACAAGTAGAGAGGAGAGAACATGGAGACTTGAGAATAAAAGTTGTATTGATGTTCAAAGAGAATACTACACAAAGCAGTGATAATATAATTAAATAAATACCAATTACGTTTCTATCAAAAAGATTTAGGAAAAAAGGTAATGTAGCTCCACTGCTGTTTATCTGAAGTTGTAAGCCACAAATTGACGGTTGACTATGAGTATTGCATGGTCATTTTCTTGTGAAATATCAGTGCTAGGCATTTACACTTACCAATGACCACCCCTAAAAGCACCATCTCGGAACCATATAAGCACCTCAGAATAGCCAAAGCTTTTATGGTTTGGTAGATAGCACTATGGCGAAAGCGTTTTTTTTGGGTGTGGTCAGTTTTGGACGTTTCGTCCCGGATTGGGGTTCGGACGGCGTTACCATGTTGACTGTCATGGTCAACTTGTCCTAAAACAGTTGAGATTATCTGTCCTAAATGAAATGCATACAAACAGATATACAGGTCCTCGACTACATATATATAAAAAAAAGTTCATATACAATTAACCCTCCATGCTCAACAGATGGTTGTCGCGATCTATCCAGCTAATCTGTTCTTAAACGACTTTGTTTCAGATAGATCAAGAAAAAAGGGTTAAAGATGAGGTAATTCAATGGCTTCTGAAAAGAACATAGCAGAATACGACCATAACAAAACAGGTTTAGAAATAAGCACTGCTTTTGGCGATCGGTTGGGAATAGCAAGTAAGAATGCCAATTTGGGCAATGCCTATCTTAGTTTAGGAGAATATCAGAAAGCCATTGACCATTACAAAACAGGTTTAGAAATAAGCACTGCTATTGGCGATCGGTCAGGAATAGCAAGTAACAATGGCAATTTGGGCAATGCCTATCTTAGTTTAGGAGAATATCAGAAAGCCATTGACCATTACAAAACAGGTTTAGAAATAAGCACTGCTATTGGCGATCGGTCAGGAATAGCAAGCAACAATGGCAATTTGGGCAATGCCTATCTTAGTTTAGAAGAATATCAGAAAGCCATTGACCATTACAAAACAGGTTTAGAAATAAGCACTGCTATTGACGATCTGCCAGGAAGAGCAATAAACCTCAGCAATTTAGGAAATGCGCATCGATGTCTTGGAGAGTATGAAGCTGGGACACCATTCTTAGTGAAGTCAATTAGTTTGTACGATGGAATGTTTTTAGATTTCGTTCCGGATCAAAATAAGGTATCTTTCACGACACAATATTTCGTATCTCATAAACGTTTGATGAGTTGTTTCCTTTCTTTGGAACGCATTGAATCCGCATTATTAGCCATTGACCTTGGTAGGGCTAAGGAGCTCCATTGCTGCGTTGAAAAACATAAGAATTCTGTGGACAAGGACATGTTCGATTATGCACGTGTGATATGGAATAGAATCGGATCCGGAGAGGAACGAAGAGAAATGGAAGAAATGAAAACATTTCTCCATCTAGGAGAAAATGATACCTCAGTATTAGTATTTGCTTTTGATTTGGATGCTTTTCTTAATGTTTGGGTTTTAAATGATGAAATTATCTTTCGAAAATTGGATGCACGTTTGGAAACATTTCAGTTCCTAATTGTGGAACTTCTTGGGAGGGAAAAAGTTAGTGTTGTTCGGAATTCTTCGTTTTGCAACTCCGATTCAGTTGTTGATACTCACAATCAAGTGATTTTTCCATTTGAAATGCCAAACGGAAAAACACTCTCTAAAAATGCGTTTGAAAATAGTGCTTGCTATAGTGATTTGAGTAATCGAGAAATTTTGGAAAGGTTGTTCAAACTTTTGGTTGATCCGGTGAAAGATCTTGTTAAAGGCAATAAGCTCATTGTCGTCCCTGACCAGCAATTGTTTTTTACACCGTTTTCAGCACTAATTGATGAAAATGGCTCTTATTTATCCAACAGTTACAGCGTTCAAATTACACCTTCATTGCATACCCTGAAGTGTACCATGGAACAATCCTGTGACTCAAACTTTGGTTTTGCGTTGTTTGTTGGTAATCCAACTGTAGGAATAGTTTGTTTAAACGGACAAGACGTTACACCCTCTGACTTGCCTAATGCCGCTGAGGAAGTTAAATGTCTGTCAAAGCTTTTCCAAGCTAGGCCTCTTTTAGGACGCGAAGCAAGAAAAGAGGTAATATTGCAACATCTAAGTGGAGCAAGTATAATCCATATCGCTGCCCATGGCGAAACAAACCGAGGTGAAATAATGCTTGCGCCAAACGTTTCCAAGGTGCAACCATGTTTGGCTGTTCCCAAGCCAGAGTCATATCTTCTCACACAGCAAGATATTCTAAATATTCCTTTACAAGCTCGCTTGGTAGTTCTATGCTGTTGCCATACTGGGCAAGGTGAAATTACTTCAGAAGGTGTCATAGGTATAACTCGAGCTTTTCTTGCAGCCGGAGCGCACTGTGTTCTTGCTACACTATGGCCAATTGACGATAGTGCCACAAAAGAGTTTATGGAAAAATTCTATGGCGAACTTTGCCAAGAAACAAGAGTTTGTGAAGCTTTAAGAAGAACACAGAACCTCTTTCAGAAACACGAAATAGAAGCTTACCGATCCATCAAGATCTGGGGTCCATTTACTATCTATGGAGAAGACGCGAAGTTCCGTGAGAATGAGATTAAGCAAATCAGAGAAAAATCTCGTGAGATGTTTTCTGGTCTCGTAGTGCTTTGATATCATTAAAATGACGTCGTCCGTTTTAGTTATTTTCCGAGCAAAACCTAAAATTGTATTACCATGTAGTGAATGGACTACTGACTGAGAATGCTCCTATTTAAATTTTTCTGTGTCTCAAATTGCTTCGAGCGTTTAAAAGTTAGACAATGCATGGAATTATATTTTGAAATTATAACGACTTTCTTCAAGATAACGTTTGGTTTGATTAGAGTGGCTTATAGGTTATTGATGATCTTGATGTGTGGCAACGTTCTTATTGCAATCATTCCACGTTTCTGTAATTGTTACTTTGATATTATTCAAAAAGAATATTAATTTTCAAGTTGGGTTGTGTGCTTGGTGTTGGTTAAAATAAGATTTGGGGAAAACAACAACGTGAAATTGCCAAAGTGGTTGGTTGTCGGAAAAACAGTGTAAAGTTAGCTGTAGATTTTTAGAGTTGTGTTGCCGCTTGTGAAAGAGGAGTGTCATGATACTCAAGTTGTGAAGTTGCTGAACTGGGAAATGGTTGGTGAAATTGTTGTAACTAAGAATGTGATGGTGTTCAGAATCATGTGTGCATTGCCAAGCGCAAAATCTGATTAAGCCATAGACAGCTTATCTACTGTAGTTGCTGTAGTGTAGTGTTTACATTAGAAAAGTAGAAGAGGAAATATAGTTTAGCTTTGAGTCTGTTCTTTGTTCGTTGTTGAGAGAAAAGTAAGTATCTGTGATTGCAGTGTATGTCCAAATATAAGGTAATCCAAATTTTATTATGTTATTGCACATAAGGTATGTATTAAGATTATACAGAGTCTGTTTGCTTTATTCAAACTTGAATATCGGTCTTTTGGCTGTGATGTGAAACCTTTTTTTTTCGTTGCGTTTAAAAATTGCCAAATGCGACGAGATCAGACGAAATCTCATTTTTCCGCCATTGTGAATTTGAACAATTTTGAAGAAATGCTGCTCGCCTATTTATTTCTGCAAACCTTTGAGTGGTAACTGAATAACGGCGTAACAAGGATCTAACAAAATTTTACAACTAAAACATTGCTAGGTTGCAAATTTGGCAGAAGTGAATGAAATGTAAGCTAAAAAGTGCAGTATGGTATGCAGCAACGAAAGTGTGGTCACATATGTTTGGTTACATTTGTTTGGAATTTTAAATTCGTCTCTGTCTTTAATATTTGGCAACCCAAGCTATAGCCGGAGCGGCCTAAATTAACCAGTGATTAATCAGTGATTATAAAATACAAATTGAAATAATATTTTAAGTGTTTCTTGTTTTGCTGTCCAGCAATATTCTTGTGCCTGTTTTAGTAGCTATGTATGTCTATTTTTTGTGATATAACAGAGTGTTTGCTAGTGCCTATGTTAAAACCTGGTTGGCTAAAACAACATTGCAACAGAGCTGATGCAAGTTCGTTTCAAACTAAATAAGTCTGGCCTTTTTAATGCAAATGGCTTACATTCTTTATTTTCTTTTTGGATCCAGCTAGCGACCGAGAATTTCTAATCGATCTAATTCCTGGAAAAATAAAACAAATGTTTTGTAGGTGTTTGAAATTGGGTGTAAAATTGCTTGTATAATTGCCATTCATGCGTGCAGTACTCGGAAATTTCAGGCTAACGTCGTATAGTCAACATTTCGTAGATATAACAAAGGTATTTTCATAGATTATTTTCTCAAAAATATCTTTGCTATATGTTCTCGAAAGGCAATATTTGAAAACGCTCTATCTTGGCATAAGCTAATAATATGCATATGAGAAGAACGTTTTCAACAAAAATATTTTTTTTTTTAATAAAATAAAATAACATAAAGGAAAATGTACTTATTTTTTCCAAGGTAGATAATTATTGTTCAAGTTTGTTACAACTTAGTTAAAAGATTGAAGCAGGACATATTTGAACGTGTAACAAAATAAATATGTTTATGTATGTGACACAGACCAGTATTGAGTTCTGTATTTGTAAAAAATCTAATTGAACTATAACCAATAATTTGCAACGTGGATGAACATTGATGATTGCAAGAATCATGAAGCAAGCGATATGGCAAAACCAAAACGTCAGTAAATACTTTCACCTAATCACTATCTGGAACACAATCTTGAAATAGAGACAGGATCTACCTTGTGATACTGCTCGGAAAATGTCGTCGTGGAAAATGACGTTGAAATTCAGCCACCATTTTGCGACGTAGTGGAGCACTGATGAAGGCAAAATTCTGTACGCTCCAGTCGAGGATTAATCCAGTTTGAAAGACTAAATGTGAGTTAACTGCTGTATTCGTTGGAGAAATAAAAACACCACAGGCATCAGTTTTGGTTCCTGATTTACAAGTTCAACCAAGCAAATGCAAATATTTACTTTATGGAAAGAGTTATAAAAGGTTTATAGCGGTGTAACAGTTGTGATTAATGGCACTAACTATAGATCATTTGTGCAGGTTTGAAATACTGAAAATAAAACTTTTGTTCCCACAGTGTCAAACGTTACCATATCAGGGTGCTTCGAACGTTTGGAAAGACATCCTTGCAACAAAACCGTCTAGGAATCCGTAGGGGTAGTTAACTCTTCTTGAACTTGTGGGGAGCTTTTTTTTTGGATGATCGGTTGAGATGAAAACAATCCTTTATGACTATGTGCACACAAGTGTGGTTCAATTGCGATGTTGTTTGTACACATGAAAAAAAGAAATTTGTCAACGCAAACCCGCTATCAGACAAACTAAAATTAAGATTCTGCAAAAAATCTACGAAAAGAGTTGTTATGGTCCACAAGGTTGTACAGGGACGTTGTCGGATTGTTGGTAGATAATTAACATTATGAACAGATTGAATCTTGTTCTTCCAAGACATAGGCTTAAATTTTAGAAACATGTCCTAGTAATATATCGTTTACGTATTTTCTAGTATAAATGATTAAGATTGTACTCAGTCAGAGCTGCAAAACAATATAATAAGAAAGAAATTGTGAGCATTATCGAAAACAAGTCAGATAATTTTTCATTCGTGTACAATTGTGTGTTCCAGTGCGGGCATCATATGCATATTCATCAATTTACCTTATGCACATAATGATGTCACAAGGCTTGATGCCCGCGAGGAATGCTGGTCTTAGTAGTCACCACTATCGAAATTTTCCCTGCTAATGACTACCATTAAAAACAAGCATTCCTCACAGGCATCAAGCCTTGAGACGTCATTATAGATAAGGTCTATTGATATAGAGTAAAGCCCCGCATAAAAGAACCAGTATGTTAAGAACCACTAGCCTAAAATTTGGGCAATTAAGCACTCAAAATACAAGTTTTAAACATTTTTTAACAGTTTAGATATGCAACGAGAACCATATTGGCGTCATAGCAATAGTTTTATGCAACAACAGTCCTTATTTAATGTGTAGAATAAAAAAAGTATAGTGTGAAGTAAGTTATATAAGAACCACTTCAGCCTGAAGTCAAAATTCACTGGTTCATTTATGCAGAGCTTTACTGTACTGTATATCATATTCCCTAGCATATTACAATATTAGTAATCATGTTACTGTAATATAAAACTATTTTTATTGGCAATTTTCTAATTGAAATACAACCTATATTGTAAAATTTAATATACTATACCTTGTTGGCTTAATCTTTTGACAGAATCAGTGTACAACTTTATTATTGCCAACGGCAACGTCAACGACTGCCCAGCTAGCGAGGCCATGCTCACTTCGCTTGTATAAAGTATAAAATATAGCGAGTTCACACATCGCTAGCAAGTTTGGTACAGGTAAGCGAGTTCACAATTCACTGTTTTTTTGAAAAACATAATATGAACGGCCCCTTTTGATTTGATTTCACCAACGATTGCCACGGTTCCACGAACACACACCAAAAATGTCCAAAATATACACTTAGAGGAGATAGAATTGGAACTTTTATAATGTATTAATTAAAAACAGACTACCACGTTCATTTACATATTTAAAAGTATTCAAACGTTCAAATAACTATTTTTATCAACACAGCTTCAAAATATAACTCTTTTCAGGCTCCAAAATCAAATAGTAATATTGTAGAATACTCTGTAAAATATAAAGCCTCGTGCAATGGAAAAATATGCGATATGCCACATGGTCATATCAAAATTAAATATCATAACTTCTATGAAGCTACGGCGCACCGAACAGAGCTTTCGGAAGTTGATCGGATTGACATCGTAAACTTACTGCGTATATAAATTTGTATGTACACAATGTCATTCTACTGTGACGTCAGAAAATGTGACCCGAATGAACGACAAACAAATTGAGATTTGCTTTGGCTAAAATACATAAGTCGCGCGGGAATCTGGCACGTACGGAAGCCCGGAAGGGCCATACGAATATTGCTTTCAACTTTTTGAATCGCGCTTAATAATTTGTTTGAATCGCGATTAACTTTCGAACGTTGCTTACTTATAGGATCGTGTTGAGTTTTTGCACGACTTTTTTCTCGTCTTTTTCTCG